CCGGTCCGGGAAGATCCCACATGCCGCAGAGCGGCTGGGCCTGTGAGCCATGGCCACTGAGCCTGCGCGTCCGCAATGGGAGAGGCCACAACAGTGAGAGGCTCGCGTACCGCAAGCAAAAAAAAAAAAAAAAAAAAAAAAGCAGCAGCAGCGAGGGGTACAGAGATGCAAGATAAAAGTATCACCAAACACGGATAAAACCCTCTCCCAATGCCCACAGCCCACTCCAGCTACCACCCCATTTCCCTTCTGCCCTTTTAGCAGAACTTCTCAAGAGTTATTTATATTTATCGTGTCCATGGACTCACCTTCTTTCCTATTTAAACTCACTCCAGTAAGGTGTCTCCCTCCGTAACTCCACTGCAACTGCTTTTCCCAGTGATCTGGTCCCTTGCTCCCTCCTCCCACCCCCTCTGGCTCACTCAGTCCCATCCCCACTGCTGCCCCTTAAACATACCAAGCTTGCTCCCCTCTGGCTGTTCCCTCTGCCTGGAAAAGCGGCAGAAATTCACCCAGTCTGTTCCTTCATTTCAGTCCCTGCAGGGCTCTGATCAAAAGCCATCTCCTTAGATGGGATTCTTATCTGCAAAATCACCCTCTGTCACTAGCTATGCCCTTATCCTGCTTTATTTTTCTTCATAACAGTTATCACAACTGGGCATTATTTTAACTGTTTCTTGACGGCAAAGACTTTATGTTTACTGCTGTGTCCCAAGTGCCTAGAACCCGCTTGGAACGGAGCAGGTGTGCTCAATAATTAGTTGTGTGTTAACTAGTAAATGGATTTGAATGCATGCCTAGGAAATTCAGAAGACTCCTTGAAAAATTATTAATACCAAGAATTCATGAAGTGGCAGAGTATCAGATAAAGAGGCAAAACCAGTAAGTATTCTATCAGCAAAACCAAATTAGTATTGATAAATAAAAGCATAAAAATATCTCATTCACAACAGCCAGAGATCCCACAATTAAGAAAACACATAACTCAATAAAGTATTAAAGAAGATTTGAACACAGAGAGATACCAACTTTGTGGTTAGGAAAACTAAATACTGTAAAGATAATATATCACTCCCCAAAATTTTATTGGCTTAATACAACTGCAACAAAATCACAATGGGATTTTTATCTAAGAAGTTGAAAAAATAATTCTAAAGCGCCCTGAAAAAAACCAATATGAATAAAAAGAATTTTAAAAAATTGCAACATTAATAATGAGTGTTTACACCTACTCAGAAAGTAAATTGCTTTTGGTGAGCAATCTGATAAATACTAAAAGCCTTAAAATTGGGGATTCTACTCACAAATCTTATTCCAAGGAAATTAAGGATGTTAACAAAGCCACAAAGACTGCTATTTATAAAACCAAAATAACGTACACACTCAACACAAATAATTGGCTGTGTAAATTATGATACATCAATGCAACAAAATACTATGCAGGTATTAAAATTGCAGCTGAAGAGTCTGGATGCTTGGTAAAAAAGGCGAGAATTAACTGCATCGGTATATCTACGTACCCTTCTACAAGTCCACTTGTAGACAATAAGGGAATTTAAGAAGATATAAATGGCAGAATAAATGCAGGAGAGAACTTGAGCTTGAGATTTCAGCAAATTTTGGAAGCTGAAAGGGAAAGAAGTAACTGTCTTAAAGCTGACGTGGCCTAGAGATAAACAAAGGGGAAGCAAGATGGTTTGCGTCACAGAACCCAGAGCGGCTTGGGACTGCGAAGCACCAAAGGCCACAGGAAGCGAGGGCCAAGCCGAGGGGTGAAAGCGGGACACCGGGTGGACACCAGCCCCGCCAGCACGCGCACGGGGCCAGCAGACCCCCAGACCTTGGCCCTGACCCATCAGCGCCTCCTGCCCCCTCAGACACGGGGCTTCGGCCCAGCTTGGGGGCAGCAGGGGAGAGAGGGGAGCACGGTGCTGAACACACGGAGATAAAGGAAGTCTACCGTAAAGAAGAGTAGGAACCCTGACGCTCCCTGTCCTCAGAGATCAGCCGTGTCCTTCTCAAGCACTCAATGAGAGTATTCCTTCGGGAAAAACCAAATACTCCTAAGACTAGACTGCCCGATACTAGAGTGGGAAAGGCGATGGGCGTGCGGGGGCCGACTGTGAGCTCCAATCCCAGCGCCTGCACGTGCGTGCCAGCGTTACTTTAAGCAAAGCACTTAACCTCTTTGGAACCTTTTTAGTTTCCTCCTCTGGCAATGGAGATAGCGGTGCCTATCTCCTGATGCCTTTGTGAGGATTAAATGTGTGAATGACTGTAAAGCCCTCCCTCCATCCCCATAAGAGGATTATACTTACCCGCCCATTGCCACTGCCCGGAATTTGCAACCCCTCCGTGCAGGTGGAGATTTCCCTGCCCACACTCAGGCCTGGCCATGTCTAGCTTTGGCCAAATGAATGTGACTACACTGAAGTACAACGTATCTAAGCAGCAGCTTTAAAAGCCCTGCACGTTCCGCCAGCTCTCTTCCTCTTTCCCCTCCACAGTGAGAACCGCACGTCCCAGAGAGCTGCTCCTTTAGCCTGGATCGTAGAAGGAGAAGCACGGAAAAGAGCCATCGCAGTAGACCTACGGCCACCTTCACCTTCAGCTGCCCACATGAAACACTAGCAAGAAAAAATTGTCTACAGTAGAAAACCAGTGAGACTTGGGGGTTGTTTGTTACTGCTGCAAGGTCAACAAACTACAGAGACAACTCCGTATTTTTAAGTTCTCAAAAGCTTGTATTTTAGAAGTATCTGGAGAGTGAATCTTTAACAATATTCTTAATCCTAAGAACGAACTTGACCTCCAGTCAAGCCATTGAGGATCGTACCATTTGTGGTATCTAATGTGAGGGCTGATTGACCAGTTAATGAAGGAAGAGAACTCACATTAACTGATCATCTACAACACAGCACACCCTGTGCCATACATGATATTTCATTTAATCCTCATAACAACCTTATAGAGAAAGTTATACTTATAAGTTAAGTAGTATCACCCTCCTTAATAAGAAGAGACAAGTAAGGCTCATGAAATTAAGTGATTTGTCTGTTCTGGAACAATCAGCAGTGTGAGCCTTCCAGTTCAGGTGGGTCTGTCTCCAAGCTCATTCCCTTCCACCCCTGCCTTGTACCACTCTTCCATGTGCCTTAATCTTTGTAAGCCACCTTCACCCCCCCACACACACACCCCCAATCACCTAGCACAACGCATGGCATGTTATAAGTGTTCAAAAAAAATACTTACTGAACTAGACTGAAGGGAAAACCTCCACCAAAAGACAAAAAAATGCCATTTCCATCTTACAGCATACAGCAAAATAGTGAAAATATAAAAACTTTCAAACTATAGCAAAAAGAAAATAGTATTAAATACACCTGAACAAAGATGGAATTTATAAACTTAGAAGCAGCTGAAGAAATCAGAGTAACAGACCAACAGATTTAAATAGATAAATAAATGAAACCTCAGTGTATCAAATACCCTCCTCCATAACAGGACCAAAGTTAAACAGTAAACTGCATGCCTCAAAAGAAGACTATAGTAAACAGCAGTTAATTTTCTGATTATATAAAGCATTTACACAAATACATTTTAAAAAATACTAAGATTTAATTGATCAAACAGGCAAAGAATATGAAATATTTACACATAAGGAAACACAAGATTAAACATTATTTAATAATATTAATAATAAATATTTTTAAAGAATCCTATAGTACCCAATAAAATATAAAGTAAAAAATATCTTTTTTTCAACTACCTAATGGAAAATTTATCTTTAAATGATAAAACTCAGTGTCAGCAAGGTTACAGTAAAATGTCTGTTCTCATATATTGCTGATGAAAGTATAAGTTAATTCAACTCTCTTGGAAGGTAACTGAAGGTAAAAATAGGTTTAAGCTATTTATACTCTTTGACCCAATGATTTTACTATGGGAATCTATCCCAAGGAGTAACCTTAAATATGGGAAAAGATGGGTATCACTGTTCTGGGGAGGGGAAGATCCGACCTAGGAGTCCAAACAGAACAATGAAATAATCTACGGTGCTCTTCCTTTTCTAGGATATTGAGCCTATTTAAAATTGTGTTGATGAAGACTACACAGTAATATGGGCAAAGAAATTGATTATATTATTATTTAAGGAACATAGAATTCAAAATTGTGCATACAAATTAGACTAGTTTATTATAAAATAAAACACTACCTATTTTCTGAGTTTTCTTATATGAAAATTCCTTTATTAACAAAAATGAAAAAATGTATATGTATTTTAAATTAGTAGAAATAATCTTGGGAGAAAAGAGAACAGTGAACAGTTGGAATATTTTTGAAAGTCTCAAAATCTTTTCTTATGCAAGCAAATACGCAATATTTCTCAGCAAGCAGAGAGAAGCAGTTTGGTGTTCTGGTTAAGAGCAGACTTGGGAACCACACTGAGTTAAATCCTAGCTCTACCACTAAACACACAATTACCATGAAGTTACTTATACCTTTGAACCTCTGTGCCTCCAATTCTAAAATGGGGATAAATAATAACACCTACTTCATGGAGCTGTTGGTGAGCAATCAGCAAGTTAATACATGTAAAACGCTTAGAAACAGTGCTTGACACATGGCAAATGTTCTAATATCTGTCAGTTTTTGCTTACATATAAAAAAATATACTGAAAAGGAATTAGTCTTTTTTGCTAAGAAAATGAACATACAGAACTATGAGTTCATCAGAGCCATTAATCAAAATTTAATCAATGTCCTTCCTAATATAAGCTAAGAAAATATTTAAATGTATAAAAATATTCTTTCTGTACCAAGGGGCTGCTTCCTAAATTCCAAATTGAAAATTACTCCCAACATAAATAAGAAAATACAAAAGTATTACCTTGTTGATATCATCTGCTGTAAATCCACTTTGTTCTAAGAGTTCTCTGATTGCTTCTATACATTTATTAAAAAGTGGAGAACAGAGAAGTTCAAATCTTGCTCTGTACACACACACATACACAAATACACATACACACAGAGAAGACAGAAAAAAGTCAAACAAGACATCTTTTTCTTGTGAAGGTTAATGACAAAACCTACTGTGATGAATCTCTTTAGAATAGGTTTATGATCAGAACAGGATGTTAAACACCCAGCAGTGCAATATCATGGGGTGAAAAGGTCTAGGTTATCCATCTACAAATGTATGAAGATGTTTAGTATTAAATTCAGATGGAAGATTATCTTACCCATAGCCTGCTTGTAAGCTTTCAAAACACCTAAAAATAAATACTCAGTGTATGGCATTTCTGACAATAAATCTATTGATCCAAATCAAACCGCCATTTGGAAATTTTTGCTATTTTTATGTGTTAAAATTTTTAAAATTGTTTCTCACTACTTTTCTTTATAGTCTGAGCCCATGCTGCACATAGGTTTAGTTCTTTTGCACCGAGAAGCTTAAATGCTAGCAAATAAAATTACGAATTCTATTTCCTTCTTAATAAATCCTATTTCCTTCTATTTCCTTATTAATAAGCAAACATATACTGAGTACTTGGACAAACTTAGCACTAAGTTAATAGAAAGACTCTGTTGCCACAAAAGAGATTTAAATTCAATTTAACAACTTTCTTTTAGATTGTAGCTTGAAATCTCTCTTAAAAGATCTAGAGAACTTTCTGGAGCCACTGGCTACATGAGACTACTGAGCACTTGAACTGTGGCTAATGCTACTGAGGAACCAAATTTTTAATGTTATTTACCTGTAATTAATTAAAAAGTTTAAACAGCCACAGGTGGCAGTGCTGACCTGGAGTCTTCGAGAAAGCCCAGAGAGATGAGGAAGCTAAACTACAAGGGCCAGATGAAGAGAGAATTTAACCACACAGACTCAGTAAAAGCCTAAAAATAATATAATACTGTAATTCTGGACAACTTCACTATGCTTCCAAGTCATCCATTATCTTGTTGGGAGGTTTAAATTGTGCTAACGGTAGCTATTATTATTCTGAGTAATATGCAATGCAAAATGATAGGATGATAGGACAACGGCCTCCCTTGGACTTCCTGGGTGAAGGTGCAATCATTTGTAAGCAATGTTTTGGATTAAGTAAAAGATATGAGCATTAAAAACAATTTTATGCACATTAAACCTGTGTTTACTAAATGTCATAAAAGCTATTAAAATTTACAATGCTGCCAATGGATGACAGATCAAATAAAACCAAGAAAGGGATCAATCCTCAAAGTACTGTGATAGGTAACAGAACTCTGGAGTCAAAACTAGCTGGGTTTGAGTCCAAGGTCTGTCACTTACTAGCTGGATAACCTCGGACAAGAAATGAAACCTGTGTTTCAGCTTCCTCCTGTGTAAAGTAAGGAAAATAACAGTACTTACCTCATCAGGTTGTTAGGAGAATTTGAGAGTTAATACACAGAAAGTACTTAGAATACAGCCTGCCACACAGGGATAACGATCAAGTTATAGTAACAACCACTGATACATGTGCAAGCCCCAGAGAGAACTAGGGACTATACAGGTGGGACTGCTATTCAGTAAGAGAAACTCGCAAATCTCAAACTTCAAGTCTTCTCTCATCTTTCTTTCAAAGATCTAGGAATTGTAAAACAATTATACCCCAATAAAGATGTTAAAAAAAAAAAAAATCTAGGAAGCCCTTTTCACACACTGCTCTTTGTAGCTGTAAAATAACAGGGCAATCACAGCTGACATGATTACTTTGAGAACAGTTACTTAGTCTGACAAGAGTTGGACCCCAGAAGTAAAGACAGGAAAACTCCCCTTTTATAGAGGGCTAATAAACCTCAAATGAGCAAACGAAAAACCCAAAGTGAGAAAATTACACCTAAATGTGAATACACTTGAAAGTTTTTTGTTTAAGTTTTTTGAACTGCAGTTTTACCTGGACACATTGCAGTCAAAATCTTGACCTTTATACAATGAGTCAAGGAAACAATTGGCACTTCCCAAGGTTGACAAAGAATGTTTTGCAGTGTCAGCACTGTTCATCAGTTTCACCATGGCACGGGCATTTCCTCTCACGTCATGTTTGAAGGATCTAAATTAAAAATACAATCTTTGAAGTTTAAAAATTACTAGGTCATTTAGAATTTATTGTAACTAAAATCTGGATAATCCTTATTAGGATAACTATAAGCTCATGAATCAATATTAATACCAGATTTTAGTATCTCCAAAATATCCGAAGAAAATTCTCTGCATTTAAAGAAGTGTCTCAAGAAAAATGAATAATCAATATACTTAACACTTTGAATTGCTGGATTCTGTAATCACAATAATGGACTGTGCTTTGAAGAAGTACAGGAACCATCATCTTTTTGCAGATGAGACAAAAGGAGGTTAAAGGAGATTCATGCAACTGGGTCAAGTCTCACACCTCACCCCTTACAACCACAGCATGATTATTGTTTGAAGGCACAAAATTATCTGTCCAGCAAAAAAAAAAAAAAAGAACTAAAAGTGCTTCTTCAGAGAAATTTGAAACATAACGAAATACGTAAAATTTTAGTTCCGCTACCTCCAAGGGGAGTTAATTGTTAAAACTGCTTGCTAAGTGGTGATGTTGATGGCCCTGTTTTTAAACATGTTGAAAAACTGAAATCCGTAGTAAAATTAACACAGCCCTTCCTTGAGTTGGAACTCCTTTACAACAAAAAGCAGTATAGGTCTTTATTAAAGAAATGAGAAATTATCACTTTTTCAAGACTTTTTTTTACCCAGTTTAGTCAAACTGATGAAAATGCTATTTCAGCTTCTTTTTACAGCAGGAATGTCCCAAATATAACCTTTATATATTTGACTCATGATGTGCCAAACAGGATTAGAATTTTGAATGGAATAATTATATCCAGCAACAAAACTAAAATATTCCTTGTGGTAGTAGATTAGTAATAAAATAAACACTCTGCAAGACATTCACTTACTGGAATGTAACTATAACGTAATCTTCTACACCTGTAAAAACTGTTCAGAAGGTAGTGAGGCCTCAGTGCTTTTACCCTCCTTCATCCAGACATAAAAGCAACCACTGAAGAACTGAGGGAAAAATCCAAGTACACTGCACTGGGCAGCTTGGCCTCTGCTTCCCCCTGTTTACCAGAACAGACCTTAGAACTTTAGACACAAAAATATCCAGCGCACTGGAAAAAACATGTCCTCCTTTGAAGGGCAATTTCAAATAAATTAGGAAAAAATTAAACCTGAAGTGAAACTTCAATCGAAATATATCATCAAGTCCCTTTATACTCACCTCTGAAACTCAGAAGCTAGGTACTGTGCTAAGGTTTCTGTGAAATGTGTACCTCCAATGTTATTATCAGTGTTTGTTGAAAGAACACGATATATTCCACTGTTAACTTCCATGACACTGATAGATAAGGATGTTCCTCCAAGTTTGAATACCAAAATGTTGCTTAAAAAAAAAGATAACATGAGTAAGTTATGAGAGAATCACAGCATTGTAAAGCCAGGTTCGACTTCTTAAACTAACAAGTCACTATAAATCACATATGAGGAAACTGAAAATCTCACATGAGTAACTAAGTTGTCCATGGTCATCACTCAGTGATGACTTAAGCCTAGAAACCAGATCTTCTGATTTTAAGTCAAAGCTCTTTTTCATGTAGTTGTACTGGTAAAACTGTATTCTTCTGACTAACTGGAGTTCAAAACACTAACTGTTCAAAGTAAATAAAGAAGAGATTTGTAATTAAAGTGAATTTTAAGAGAATTAAACATAGAAATTTTATGTTAATATTGTCCTTGTTACTACTGCAGTAACATGTTCTACAAAAGTAAAACATAGGCAAAACTAGGAGCTAATTTCCTATGTATCAAAATCCAAAATTTCTGATATTGTAATTTATATTCTATATTTTAGTTTACCTAAAAAAAAAAATCTGCTAGTAATTTATACATATTAGGTTAATTGTGAGATACGAATGAAATGACACAATTAGGGGAAATTAACACATCTGAATTGATTTCCCTAAAATTACACGATGTGTCAGATCTATTAAGACAAGTTTTATAATTAAATTAGGAGTATGTCTTACTATTTCATTATCAAATGAAGTCTTAAATCCCCGTACTGGCTTTTCCCCCATCTCCTGCCAAGACAAATGTACATAAAAGACCTCACTGTTTCTAAGCATGTTTAATAATTAGAATTGGTAGTAAAATTAACGGTGCCCTAGAGCTTCAGCTGGAACTTGGCTGGGCTTATAAATTTCAAATCTTCCTCCACTAAGGGGACAAAGTGTAGGTGATAAGAGAAGGGCGGAAAAGCTCAACCTTCCCTCCTGCCTGTTATACTCTTTCTCTGCTTTCCTAGGACATCTTTCTCACCTATTTGAAAAACTCCAGGTGAGAGTTTCGATGTCTTTCCATCCATAAAGGCTTGGAACCACTGTGCTATGTAACAATCTCTACTGAAATCATTGCTATAATCTAAAATGTTTTCTGCAGTGAAAAACGTAAAGCTGCAAATATGGTTTTTACCTTTTTCCAGTGGGGGAGTCTTGTCCAATTCCATAAGCCAAAAGAGCTGCAGAAGGTTCGTGGATTAACCGCAAAACATTGAACCCAGCAGCTCTGGCTGCTTCCCTGTGGACAAGTTACTTTTAATACATTTAATATCACAACATGTTGAAGTCTACATTTTTAGAAATGCTCTGCTGAAGATTTTATGCAATAGCATATAAGACTTTGTAAGTAGAACATGAAGGGTAATGATCTTTAGAAGATAACAGAACATAAGAAACAGACCTAAGTCTTTAAGCGTAGATCACTTCCTGTTTAAAATAATAATGTTCAGAGTCTATTTCCCTGACAAAGAAAATAACGTGCTTATACTGAGTAAGGAAGAGAAACTCTCCAAGTGCTCAAGCTTACAAACTTTAGAAAGAGATTAGGACATATTTATAATACATTTTAGCATTTTCCAACTTCTTTAATTTAGGGTCACAGTTTTAACACCCCACAAGTGCAAGTAAATAAAGCAATTCTCTGCCCCAGAAGCAACTCAGGTGTTCAGCAAAGCCCCATAGGGAACTCTATCCACAGAGCAAAAGACTGGGTGCTTGCCAATTACATTTGCATAACAACCTATAAAAACTAAATATAACTTTTTGTTTAGATGTTAACCTAAGGTGAAAAAATAATCGCAAATATTTTCTAAAATTGCTTATTTTTATATAATTCCCACGTAAGCCTTAATTACATGACACTAAGGCAAAGTGATTCATAAACATCAACTTAACCTGGTAATCAAAAACATTTCCAATCAAAATAGCTAAGAAAGTACATTTAATTTTATGTTCTTTTGACATTTCATAAAATAAAGGAACTATTAATGATCACTACCATAACTTTTGACCACATGATTTACATAGGTAAATATACATGTATTTACAAATACAACTTTATTGTGTAAGTTATTTTCGAATGCAATTTTACCTTTCACTATATAGTGATACTGTGAAATCTGTTATTTCCTTTAACTAAGCAAGTAAAAGAAACCCCATATTATACTTACCCAAGAGCATTTTTTTGTTTTTCTCCAAAATCAAATGGAACAGTAATAACTACATCATTTGCATCTGAGCCCAAGACAGAATGTGCTGTTTCTGTACGTGAAAAAAATATTTTAAAAGTTCACGAAACGTACTGTGGTAATCATGTCATGATATACATAAGTCAAATCATTACGCTGTACACCTTATACAGTGCTGTATGTCAATGATATCTCAATAAAATGGGAAGAAAAAATTATATAAAAATAAATTCTGATGATACACAAAAATGTCAAGCGATACTCTGAGGTTTGTTAACTTGAGCCAAAGACATTCTCACTATAAGGATTTGCCAGTTCACTTGACTGCTCCACCCCAATGATCTTCTCTTGCTCTCTTAAGTTGTGCACTACTTTTTTGTGGTTTTGGTATAGTTTGTGGACATGGAACTAAGTACTTTCCAAAGTGCCTTGCTCTTAGGCTTCCAAGTTTCAACCATCTCCCAAATTAGACGGGTTCTTAGACAATGAGCTTCCAATGCACTAATGTGCAGACCAACGACCATGGTGAAAGGCTGCCTTCCATCCCACAAATCCATTACACATTCCAGAGCTGAAGTAAGCCTTGTCAGTAATCTACTCCAGAACCCCTCAAGTTGCTCCACAGATGGCTGCTCAGCTAGCTCCAAGCCTTCACCTGAAGTGGAGATAAAACCAGACCTACTTAATCTGCCTAAATTACCGTGGAGAGTGCACTGTCAATCTTGAAAGAGATACGACATTCACTATTCGCCAAGCTTATTGGCCACTTCATCTTTTTTAAAAAAATATTTATTTATTTGGCTGCACTGGGTCTTAGTTGCCGCATGTGGGATCTTTAGTTGCGGCATGCAAACTCTTAGTTGCAGCATGCGTGTGGGATCTAGTTCCCTGAGCAGGGATTGTACTCGGTCCCCTGCGTTGGGAGCGCAGAGTCTTAGCCACTGGACCACCTGGTCACTTCATCTTAAGAAGTTTTGAAAATGCTAATTTGGCCCCATCCATTTACTTTACTTCTAGGGAAACCAAGGTCAGGGAAAATAAGTCATTTAACCACGGTCACATAGCCAGTTAGTGGCCCGGGCAGGTCTAGCATAATTTAGGTCTCCTCACTGCTCATTCGCTCAATCACCCTGCTTATTAGCCCCAGATCAAAAACCATCTCTAGATTTTTTTAAAGGTCAGTTTTTAAAAAGATCTTTTCTTTTGCTCAATACCTTTCATTTTACTAAATATCAGTCTGGCAACATCTTCTGGGCTGACAAATTTCTTTTCTTCTCCAGTATCTATTTCATAGCGTAATTTCCCATTTTTTTCAATGACCTATGAAGGAAATTATGAGTGTGTTAAATAAGGAATGATTTTAATAAAAATACAGTTTCAAATCAATATAATTGGCAATTACTTTGTGTAACAGGGAAATAATAATAGAAGCATACTCACTAAACACTTACTATCCCTGATGTATTTCTGAGCCTGTGGATCATCAGAGCTGTCCATAGAGATAAACATAGTTAAATATTTATATCACTATTGTTGACATATAAGTTTTAAAGAAGACTATATTCTTCAATACCACTTGACAAATATAAAAATATAAACAAAATTAAGTTGCTTAATATTAAAAGAAATCTTGCAATATTAGGGTAGGTTTAGACGGTAGGAATGAATGGCTGCAGAATTTACAAGGTTGAGTAATTCTATTAAAGTGCTAACTTCACATTTGAAAGTGAATAGCTCTTCCTTGTTCGGATCTTACTATCAACAGGTGTTAAACATTTGGGGATGACTTTCATAATATCAATGATTTTATGTCATATATACTTGTATCTTTGATCCTGAAGACCCAACCACTGAGATAAAAAGGACAAAAGGACCACAAACTAATGGCAAACCAGAATACCTAACACCATCTTTGCTGCTTGGTTTCTGAATATGAATCAATGCCTGAAACCTGAAAGGACTAAGCAAAAGTATGAATATTATATATGTAAAAGTGCAGACTACTGCAGGTAGATAGATATATAACATCCTATACAAAGTAGGCACTAAACAATTGTATGGCAATGGAAAAATTAAAACAATGGGTGTTATGTTGCTCAGAATAGTAATACGAATTAATGCAGACTGCAAAATGTTTTCACATGTATTACCTTACCTGATGTTCCCAACACTATAAGGGGCAGAGTCAGTACTTGATCCCAGGCCTTCTCTACCAGGCTAGGGTTTAGACTGCCTCGCGGTGAGACGCTAAATGACTAAGGTACTTTTGCCGTGAGCAGGGACAGGAGTCTGATCTTTGGCTTAATTTCAACTAGAAACGAAGATGAGGTAGACCCTTTCACTAAATCCTTCTTGCAAGAGGCAGTGGCTATTCTGTCCAGAGACCAGTCTTAACTGTTTAGTAAGAGCAGGTGAAATTTAACACTGGCTAATTGCTGAAGGGTAACTGAACATCTGAGGACCCTAATCTTGTAAAGGGGAAAATGCCCAAAGTCACATGACTAATTAATAGAACTGGCTGGAATCCAGATCTTTAACGCAATGTTTAATATTCTTTCCACTAGCCTTCCCCCCACCCCTGCCCCTTTTCTAAACCCAATATTTATACTAGCTCCTGGACAAATATTTTAAAGGTAAGAAAAAAAAGATTAAGTGTGCCCACAGTAATTTTTTTTTCCTACCAATACTGTAATTTTGGCATGACACTTAGTGGTTCTGTTTCCTTTAGGACAGAATTTAAGTCAACCAGGATAATTTCACCAAATAGCTATCTATCACTCAGACAAGATAACTTGCCAGAAAAGGATATTTTAATTGAATTTATAGAACTCTGAGAAACGGAAAATTCTTTCTCAATTGCCATGCAGAGAGGGCCTCGCTCAGGTGAGGCCAGAAGCACACGTAGCTCTGAGGGCCACAGAGAGGCCAGACCTTGGAGGTTAGCCAGCGGAGGAGCAGAAAGCAGAGAATGGAGGTGACGACAAACGATCACGGTAGCGCCAGAAAGTAGTGGACTGACCACAGCCAGGTACAGATGACAACTTTATTTGTCCACACCAGGATTGAGTTACTGAACAGAGACAGAGGGTGGTGGCAGGCTGGCATACACAGCGCCATTTACGTGGAGGGCTTCAGGAGGCAGACAGAGCATCACTCCTAGCAGGGTACCAGGGCCTTCATCCTGCCCCTCCCCCTCCCTCCTGAAGGGCCCTGCCCCGCACTCACCAGCACTCACCAGCGCTCACGTACTGCCGGGCTTCTTCCCCCCCACTCTCCCAGTACAGAGCCCACCCGGTCTGGAAACGTCTGTCTTTACATTCATCTGCCCACTGGGCCCTCACACAGCTCCTGCGAGGTAGCAGGGATAGCCTCCCACTGGATAGCGGAGGGGCCTGAGGTACAGAATGGTAAAGTGGCCTGCCTGCAGACTGACAGGGAGTCACGGCTGGGCCTACAGCTCAGACAGGATTTCTGGGCCTGTTTCTCTACAGCCTCCCCTTATTACAACTTCTCTCCTCTTCACAAGATTTGGCCTGTTTTTAAAGATTTTTCCCTTGTTTTATTCCTAAACTTACTCTGCCCATTAGACCTGCACACTACTACCTCCCAAGTTCACCTTGACTTCTGCTCTTCAGCACTTCTCTTATCTCAAATAAATCCCTGCCTATGTACTTTGCTACCATTAATAGATTAATATAGTACAGGCCTAACTCTTTCAAGTACTTCCCTGTTTTTCCAGAAAGTCTACCTATCTACAGTAGTGTTATCCAGTTGTAACTGACATGGACCCCTCCACATAAGGGCCTAAAACTGAGAAAAAAAATTATATATCTCCATTTCCGTGCCTTAAACATACGCTCTTTTAAAGCACGGAATCTGTGTCTGGGTGTGGTGCTTACAGAAGTTCACAAGTACATTCATAAATATTAATGCCATAGAATGCTTCCTTACAACACAATTGTTACCAGGATTTCACATACGTTAATACACTGCTGTGTCTGAAAATATCGCAATCAGAATTTCACTTTGCCTTTTGTTATGCTATTCATCTAATTTTTTAGAACTGGAAGGTACAAGAAATGTCACCTAGTACAAACCTCTCATTTTAGAGACAAACCGAGGCACAAAAAGGGCAAGTGATCTGCTCAGTGTAACGAAGTGTGGCAGCATTAGAATTTGGGGGTTCTGTCTAGATTCCAGTGTGTTCTACCTCACGCTGCTTCCTACAGAATGGCCCATTCCCCAGAGGAACCTGCCATCTATTCCTGCTCCCCATATGTTCCCGCTGTGGTCTGGACCATTTCTCCACCTATTGCTATTTCCAGCATTTAGGTAAGCAACCAATCTGGCAAAATAGAAAATAAAACCTCTCCCTACATGCCTGCACTTTTTTTCCAGCCTCTTGATTACAGGAAAGCTCTTTACATTCTAAGTCTCCTTTTTGTACTTTCTGAAAGTACTAAATAACCGCTAAGAGCTTTAAGTTAGGTTAACGATGGTCAGTAATGGCTTCCTTTCTAGAGTAAATTGGAAGCATGGCTCAACACCATCATATCTCCTCTAGGATGTGTATGTGTTTTGGAGGGAAAAGGGGATGGATTTGTGGAGGGTTGGTGCTTAAAGAGAGCTAGCTATTGCAGGCCGTCCTTATCCACACCACCCAACTGTTCCCAAAGCTGTTCTATTCCATCATATGCCATTAATGAGGTGAAATTTTGTCTATAACGTGTGAGAAAAAGTGACTTTGGAAAGTTCCCTAAAAGAAAAGTTTTCTAGGGCTTGCCTTCTGTAACATACTAGACAGAAAAAAGGCTAACAGAGAAGAACAAAATTAGCTAAAAGCATTTGGGAAACTGATATCATCTGAATTGTTTCCACGAGGTCCAAATGGCAAACCAATGCTCAAGATATATAATTATGCATAATCATGGAACCTAAAAAATATGGAATGCAAAGAATTTACTTACATGTAATATTTTATAAGACAGCCAACTTCTCATTATATCAAAGATTATCAACATGAACCAAAAAGCACGATTGTGGCTCCCTGTCAGTTGTGAATTATATCCATAGTGTTAAGAGACTGAGGACTAGTAAAATGGAGGGAAAGATGGTTTGACTATTGAGTGTGTGCTAGTCGGTATGTCACAGACACAGCAGTGAAAATATGAGATAAAGGTACCAATACGTGTTGTGTCTATATTAGCCTCACGAGCTATAGAGAGATTTAAAGAAGTGAAGCTTGTAAACTCCAGGAAGCAGTCAAGTTAAACTAGTAGATTCAGGCAATGAGGTCTTGGTATACAGCCCTAATTCTACATCTTGTCAGCTACTGTGCTTCATCCTAGCCTGACCTCAGCCAAGGTCATATGCTTTAATAACTTACATGTGTATAGTGCTTTTAAACTTTTAAACCCTTTCACATCTATTTAAGCCATCTGATCCTCACAACAACCCTGTGAGGTAGGCAGGCTGCCCCCTTTTAACAGCTGAGGAAACTGGTGTTGAGAGGTAAACTAAGTTGTCCCGCATCAGTGGTGAAGCCAGGGCTAACTAGTTCTCTGGACTTGCCTGCTTCCGTTGTCTACTAGGCCACCTCTCACGTTTCTGAAACGTCTTTCAACTAGTGGAGACGCTTGGGAGATGCAAGTATTCTACCCTTGAATATTCTAGTATTACTACCCTTCTGCACGTTAATGGTCCATCCACTCTTTTTTTTTCCTGAGGACACGGAAAAGGAGGCAGGCTACCAGAAGGCAGCCGTTGGACCCGGGCCTCTGCCAGAGTAGGAAATACACCCTTGTGTGATCAGCTCCTAACTTTTGGTGTTTGAAATTAACCTCTGAAGCAACTTTTCAAGCCCTAGCTGGAAAGCACCGGTTGCCTCTTCCACCGCTGTGGCCAAGCGTCTGACGGCGACCACCGCATCCCTGCGCAGCTCGTTGGCTGTGTCCTGCTGAGCACTGGCCTCCTCGCCAATGGCAATCAGCCGGTCCAATTTTTCCTCCTCCCGCTTTGAAAGTTCTCGTGCCAATCTCCTGTTTTCTGCCAACTCGGCTGCGATAGTCCTGGCCACAGACCGCCTTCTTCGCCTTGCCCACCTGGGAGGGGGCTCACTGGTCAAAGGCCCATCCCCACCAGAAACAAAAGGAACTCTGGAGCAGGAGCCCGGAGGCCGCTGTGCCGAGGCCACCCCGGGAGTGTTTCGGCTGGAGCTGGTGCAGGGGCTGGGCTCACCGGACACCCCCAGTCTGGTCACGGGGCTGCTCTGACAGGGAGCAGCTGCACCTCTGAAAAGGTGGTGGGAGCTGCTGTAGCTGGGGGTCCCTTGAGAGCACCCTGAAAAACAAAGCAACAATGTTGCAGAGATTACATTCCTGCTACGGGAATGCTTGGAGCCAGCAGCAGAGCTGAGGGACAGTGACAAAGCTATGGTATTCCCAGCAAGGCCTCTTTCCACAAGGGATGGGGAAGAATTCACTTCCTTATCTGGACATTTTGTTCTGTTGCAATCACACATCCAAAACCTCTCCCCTCGCCTTCCTGAGCCCCCTGCCACATAGCTATCCAACCTACTCTACAGCCACAAATTCCTAAGTCTCCATTATTAACAATGCCCAAACTAGTCTGGTTCTAAGGAGTGCTTCCAGGTTTAAAGGAGCTCTAATATCTTACATACCTAGGGTCACGCCTCTTAAAAACCTGAAGCCCTTTATCTTACCATTAGATTTAAAAAAGAGGGCAGGGGGCAGAAATAGGGACTATGCTGACAAGGTCACCATCCAAACATGTAACGATTAGAAACAAGTGACTCTGGGACCTTGATCCTTCACACGCTGGGGAGTTACCTGCACCCGAAGATTCATCCCAGGAGTCCTCAAGGTCACTGGTTTCTCGCATCTGGTCACTGATCCTCAGGTGACAATCCTCATCTGATTCCTTAACTGTTTTCAAGACAGGCTGATGATCTGCTGCCTGAGTCCTCTTTGCTCCCAGAATGCTGGCTCCTTCTTCTCCTGGGGCGTCAGGGGCCGCTAAGTTCCGATCACAGCGCTTGGCCCAAGCAGCATCCTCCATTACGTTGTCTGCGTCAGTCACTATCTGATTTCGGAGAAGCTGATCCAACGTATCATAAAAGGGACAGTGTGGTGGATCACCCATACTTGTGGCGTGGGCCACATAGGCCTTTAAATATAATGCCTTCAGGACTTTGAACTTGGAGCGGCACTGACGCTCGGTGCGGCGGAAGCCTTCCTGCTGCATCCGCTTAGACACAGCCTGGTAGACGTCTGCATTGTGATGCACGGTCTGGAGGCGCTGAATATACTCTGCCTCACCTAGTATGGAGAGAAGCGTGCGTGTCTCCTGTCTGGACCACCGGATGCCTGCGCTGCTATTGGAAGTGGCCATAGCGGACTGGGAAGGAAGGCTAGCTGGAGGAGGCTCCTGGGCAGCAAGGTGCCGATCTGAAGGTGTGGGGAGGCTCTGTGTGCTCAGGTCTATCTCCAGGAGCCAGCCGATTCTTCCCTCTCAGGGCTAATTGCTGAGAAGCCAGGTCCAAGGACCGCATTTCTGGCTGGAAGGCCACAGGGGAATGAAAGTTACAGGGATGGGTAAGGATAATTGTGGCAGCAAGTTAAGCGGTGCTACCTGTAAGTAGGCTGCAAAGAGGCAGGATGCCAGCACTGAGAAAGCCCAACTTTGGGAGTTCGCTCAGGATGGGTACTGGATCAAGGGCTAAAAAGGGCCTTACTGGCTTGGTAACAAGGGGACTGGCTCCTCCACAAAGGGCAGAATGCTTCCAAGGCTGAGACCTGGTACAACTGTGTATCTATAAAAATCACCATTAACTTCTAAGCAGACAGACCGAGGCGGAGAAATGCCTGGACCATGAGGCAGCTCATTCTGGAGAAGTCCTAGCAGGACCATGGCATAGCAATACATGTCTAAAGGGGCTCATTCCTTACTAACCTTGGTCTAAATAGCATGCTGTGCCTATGTATTACCCAGCTGACTGTCACCATTGCACTCTTTTGTTAAAAGGTAACTTCCAGGGCCAGAAAAGTGAGCTGAAGTTGTTCTTGCTAATACAAAGCTTTTTGCATAATATGGCAGAAGACCTCCACGTCTTTACTTCCACCACCTGCCCCAAAATAGCAGCAAAAAAACAAACAGGGCTACCAAGGGGATGGATCTGTGGAACTGTTCTGTATCTTGATTATATCAATGCCAGTACCTTGGTTGTGATACTGTAGTATAGTTTTGCAAGATGTTACCACTGGGAGAAAATGGTAAATCCAATAATACATTCCATCTCTCTGTATCATTTCTTGTAACAGTATGTAAATCTACCATTATCTCAAAAAAAAAAAAGTTTACTTAAAAAATACATTGTTGGCTGCTTACAATGAGTGAATTTAGCTTCCACAACTCCCTGATTTCTTTTTCAGTCTATAATTTGAAAATTTTTGACACCAACTCAAATTATTTCCAATATGCTCAGTACTAAATTTTGTCAACAGATAAATGGATGTGGGAATATATGTATCATCAGAGAATATTTGAATTCTCTCTGAAATACTACAAGTTTTGATGTAATGCATAAAGATCCTAAGGGGAAAAAAATGAGTATCAAATTCAGTTTAACTAAACACAGGTAAGGGATAGTACAAAATATCTGTATGTATAAAAGGAATAAATTTTAAATTTAATCCATGATCCCCCCAATCCTAAAGTCAACACAAGGAAATTTCTACCTAAATTCTTAACTGACGAAGTAGAAAGGAAAGAACCTGGGGCTAACGGTTAGGCACCCTGGACTGCAGTCCTTTCTAGTTTACCCCCTAACTAATTTAGGGATATCTAACTTCTGTGTGCCTTGATTTTCTCATCTAGAAATGGGAAGGGATAAAACCTGCCTGACAATCTTACAGGGATTTGACAGGATTAAATAAAATAACAGATGTGAAAGCACTTTGAAAATTTAAAAACACTATAGCAAGTATTACAACTCCAGTGAAAATGAAAACCCCTAATTATCATGGTAATCTATAATTTGAGGAGACAGAAGTCTGGGGAAGCGAGCCTCTTTAATCTTTTAATTAAAGTTACAACAGCTGATTAACCTGATTCTTAAGACATTAATTAAGCTGTTTCCCTAATGCTTAAATTTGAAAGCCAACTGTTAAACTTAGTTCCCAGAAAGTGTCACAAAAAGATCTGAGGAAGAAAATCAATAGCTTCTACATAAATATTTCACCAATTATAATAGATTCCACGAAATTCAACTACAGTGCAAAGAAATCTTCAAATTCGCACACAATCTTTCAAGTTCCCTCAGTTAAAAAAGTACTGTACAAATGTGATAAGTCCAAATTCCCACCTCTGGATGACACAAATTATCAAAACTAAATGTATGTTGGCATCTATCAATACTAACAGATCTGAAAGCAAGAAACAATTGTCTGAGTGAATCCCATCCTTGAGAAGACTCAGCAGAAGATAATATCAGAAGATAACAGCTTCCTAGAGTATTCTGTGAAATGACCCAGTCATAAAAAACAATGAAAAAACACACTGGCGTTTCTAGTTTCATTTCACATTACACTTAGAATGTATAAACACGTTTTTATTACCATGGGTAAAAGTATTATTTTATTCCATACCTTCTGCCAAGGATCTGCTTTACTTTCATTACTGTATTTGAAATATTCCTCATTCTACTTTGTTTTGCTGCCAATCCAACAACCTGAAAAAGAGCAATATATTACAACGCACATAATTTTTTCCTTATTTCAAAGTTCAAAAATGAGGGGAACAGTACCTCTTCATTTTCTGAGTAAGCAACAACAGCTGGAGTAACTCTGTCACCTGCATCATTGGCGACCACATCAGCCCGGCCATCCTGGAGAAAAATACGCAACTGTATTAGTTCTTTTGTGATGAAATATACAGTCTCTTTAGATATATTCAGACATGGGTGGGCCAGTGTTACTCTGACATATATGTGGAGAGAAAAACTGCTTTATCATTATTTTAAACAAGTAGATTTAATTGTCCTTATCAATTTCCTAGATTTTAATTAAGATCAGAATTCCATGAAGAACTACCTCATTTTTTTCAGTCTGCTCTGCATAGTGGATAACAGAACAGACATAATAACCACCTATCTATGTACAATAACAAGCCTTATTGCGTTAAACTTCCTACTTCTCTTCCTTTCCCTATAAATGCATCTTTCTTCACTCTCTACATGTGATGAAGTAGCATTAAACCCTTTGGCTTTTCCTTACAAATCATTTGACATTTAAACGTGAGACTAGGATCAGGGCTGTCCCTCATTATTGCTCCTTCCACCTGCCCACTGATGACAGGAAGCCCCGAACTCCTAGTCAGGCTCTCTCATTTCCAGAAAGGACAACTGAATAGAGCACACACCATCATCTGGCTTCACACGCTTCGCGGGATCAACACCTCCAGTTCCAGAATGCGGCCACCCCGCGTTCTGGCCAACGTCCAGAAACCTTTCTTGGCCAACATCCAGAAACCTCCGGGTACCACACTTTCAGGTCCCCCTCGGGGCCTCCAGCGCCCGCGATGTCCCGGGTCCGCCCTCCCCTCGGGGCCTCCTGCGCCCGCGATGTCCCCGGTCCGCCCTCCCTCGGGGCCTCCTGCGCCCGCGAGGTCCCGGGTCCGCCCCCGCTCGGGGGCTCCTGCGCCCGCGAGGTCCCGGGTCCGCCCCCTCTCTGGGCCTCCTGCGCCCGCGAGGTCCCGGGTCCGCCCCCCCTCGGGGCCTCCTGCGCCCGTGAGGTCCCGGGTCCGCAGCGGCCTTCCTTGAGGAGCCGCGGGGGACGAGGCCAGGTCCGCACAGCTCTCACCCCGAAACTTCCCCACAGAATCACCTCTCCGCGCGACGTCCCCAGAACGGCGACACGCCGTTCACAGCCCCGCAGGAGACCAAAGGACTTGGCCTCGCACCCAGAGAACTGGGTACGCGCAGCCCAAGTCCCCGAGTCCCTCACCTTATAGACGGCCACACAGGCTGATGTGCAGCCTAGGTGAACCCCGATGGCCGCCATGAGGCGGCAGACACGGCGGTAGCAGTAACGACCGGTGGCCCCGGCCGCAAGAGCGCCAGGCCGCGGAACAGCCCCATCAGGCACCGCGGAGACTTCACGTTCCCGCCCGCCCACTGCGTCCGGTCCCTCCGCCGCGGCTTCCCGCGTCCCCGCCAATCAGCGTGAAGGTCCCGCCTTCCCCCTCGAGCAGTCAGCGAATAGCTTTACTGCGTCTCTCCCCGCCCCGCTGGGGAGGCACCGCGTGAGCGAGAGTGCGCACGCGCAGGTCGGGGAGGGAAAGGAAGCGGCTGCTCCGCTCCGCCCGCTTCCATGCCCTTTTTTTGAGAGCCAATGGAAACTCACGGTTGAGTTGCATCATGTGTCCCAGCAACTCCAGGCAGATTATTTTCCAACTCCGGGTCTGCGCTCCTGCGTCCTGGAGCAGCCCCCGGCGATAGCAGCGCGGCGGTTGATTTAACAGGCGGCGGCGAGGCGTTTGGAGTTGGCTCAGCATGTGGTGCGGGAGCCCAGCCGCAGTGGTGGCCTTTTGCGCCGGGCTTTGGGTCTCTAACGCGGGGCGGGCGCAGGGCCAGGAGGCCGGGGGGCGGCTGGGCGCCGACTGTGAAGGTGAGCGGTGTGAGACCTGCTTGCATGGCGGTGACACCGCGTCGCAGTGCAGCTGTTGTCGGCTTTGGCTTCTCTCGGGCCTGTCTATAAATAGCATTTCACTTAGGAAATACGGGCCCTGGCCGTGGCTTCCGATCGCCTTCGCCCAAGCCTAGGCAAAAGTTCGAGCCGGGCCCAGTGACACCTTCAGGCCGCGTTCTTGGTCTTGCTCGATTAAACTGCCTCAGAGCTGGTGGGTTTGGATTTGGATTCGATTTTGTGCAAACGCACGTAGAGGCAGACGACCCTGGCTCCAAAATGATTCTGCTGCCCTAACCGGCGAGACTTGCCTTTCCTTGCACAGAAGCCTTTCAAGTTCAAATTAGTTTATAACTCCCCAAAGGAGAAAACATGACAAATTGTAATTGAGTTGAAATGGCTTAAATCAGAGCACATAACTAACATTTGTTAGGACTTTACAGGGAAAAGTTTCTTAACAAAGGCGTACCTTAACTCCTTAGAAAGAGGAGGAATACAAAAAAAGATTCCTTTTCTGTTCACAGAATCTCAGCTGTGGACTTGCACTCAGAACAGGTGGGTCTACGTCCCACCCAGCCTTCTGGCTCTGAGGCCACTGTACCCGGTTCTGGCAAAATCAACGTGATAATACCTACAGCAGAGGGCTGGTAACGAGGTCAAAGGAGATAATTAGCTGTGCTACCTCCTTCCTCCTGGACTACTGTAGCACTTACCTCCGTGTTTCATTCATTAAAATAATTAGCTTAGATGTATATCCGCTTCACCCTTCTCTGAGCTTTCGAATCTATTCTTACATAACAGGAAATGGTAGGTTCACAATATATGTTTAATGAATGGGTGAGTATAGACTGTAATATAACTGAATAAAGTCTTAACAATTGGAGTCCAGTTTTCTATCAGCCCTGCAATAATTAAACTTTTCTCCAGAAATTTAAAATACCTACATGATGCTATTGTCAAACTTTAGATATAGATATTTGTTCAGCCAAGTTATAATTTTCAGTTAAAGATCCCTTATAACTGGGTACTATACGTTTAAAGCAGAATTTGTGAGGCACAAACAGTTGACTGGCTTAATCATCAGTAATTTAATTGCTGGAGCTTCTACTTAAAAACATTTCAGAAGAGCCAGAGCCTCTGGATTAATTGTGAAGCTTCTAACATCTTTCTTGAATTTATTACAGCATATTGTGATTATTAACTTGCATGTCTCAGTAACCTGGGTGTATATTTCCTTATATTTTCCTTTTCCACTGTAGAATCACAACAAAGGAAATACTGGTTTTAGAACAAAAAGAAATAGAGTCTAGATCTGGCTCTGTTTCAGCTTATGAGTCTTTATCATTCGCCAATTAATTTTCCCTCAGTGTATAAGATTAAAATTCTATACATACTGTAGGGCAAATTTCCATTCTTATCTTGACTACTCTGTGGCATGGGACACCAATGACTTCTTTTATCAGTAAAAAACTGATAGTTGGGCTTCCCTGGTGGCACAGTGGTTGAGAGTCCGCCTGCTGATGCAGGGGACACGGGTTCGTGCCCCGGTCCAGGAAGATCCCACATGCTGCAGAGCGGCTGGGCCCGTGAGCCATGGCCGCTGAGCCTGCACGTCTGGAGCCTGTGCTCCGCAACGGGAGAGGCCACAACAGTGAGAGGCCCGCATACCGCAAAAAAACAACAACAAAAAAAAACCCCTGATAGTCCATGAACCACCTGGGACCTATTAATGTATTTTATTAAGTTCACATAGTGTTTTGAAAAAAAACATCTAAATTAATTGGCTATATTTTAAACTTGGGAGATGTCATTTTAAAAAGTTCAGATTTCTGGCTTATCTTGAAAACCAGGTGACCAGTCAAGACTAGCCCATATGTCCATATAGTGGGAACTGATGGTGGCTGCTCTTTTTAGAAAGGACATGTGTTCTTTAGGTTTTTGTTTTTCCTAAACTTGGATTGCTTTACCCATTCATTTTACTTGCCTGGGCCCTGTGAATATTCAAGTTTATGACTGCTTTAGGTCATGTGAAGCTTACTGAAAAAAAAAATGTAAACGTTTCTGAATTTATTTAAAAGGATTGTATTATGGGGCTATTAATTTTTTTTTACTTTGAAATAATTATACATTCACTTATGGGACTAATTTTAATAAACAAAACCCTATGACATAAATAAAAAGACTATGGTTATCTGGTTATAGCAATAAATGCATGCCAGGATCCTTAACTTACTAATTTGTTAGGTGATTTATAGTGAGATTAATCTCACAAGCTTCTTAGATAGCCTCATCCACCAGAGGGCAGACAGCAGAAGCAAGAACTACAATCCTACAGCCTGTGGAATGAAAACCACATTCACAGAAAGATAGACAAGATGAAAAGGCAGAGGGCTATGTACCAGATGAAGGAACAAGATAAAACCAGAAAAACAACTAAATGAAGTGGAGATAGGCAACCTTCCAGAAAAAGAATACAGAGTAATGATAGTGAAGATGATCCAGGACCTCAGAAAACGAATGGAGGCAAAGATTGAGAAGATGCAAGAAATGTTTAACAAAGACCTAGAAGAATTAAAGAACAAACAAACAGAGATGAACAATACAATAACTGAAATGAAAAATACACGAGAAGCAATCAATAGCAGAATAACTGAGGCAGAAGAACGGATAAGTGACCTGGAACAGAATAAAGAAAAAAGAATGAAAAGAAATGAAGACAGCCTAAGAGACCTCTGGGACAACATTAAACAACATTCACGTTATAGGAGTCCCAGAAGGAGAAGAGAGAGAGAAAGGACCTGAGAAAATATTTGAAGAGATTATAGTGAGATTAGTCTCTTCGTGTAAGCCCACAACAGCATCCTTCCCATGACAGGGTGATCATGTTATTTCCTCACTAAATATCTTTCAGTGATCTCCCAATTTCCTCCAGGGAGGTGCTTCTCCTTTGTTCTCCCACACTATCTAGTACATGTCTCATAGTGGAGAAATCGTTTTGGTCTCCTCCATGTGTGCATTCCTTGACAGTCAAGACCGTTTCTCTCAC